TGACCATTCGGATATTGCGGATCTAATCATTGAAGTTGGTCCCATCAAAAATCACCGTCCTACACAATTTCATGAGTGAGAATGAGCCGGAAGAGGTCGAGTCTGAAGTGTTGTTGTTGTAGACATTTGAAATAGAAAAGAGACAAAGTTTGATTAGATAAGAATCCCCAATTAAACACCCAAAATGAGAAATTAGGGCTAGGATCCAACAACATTATTCACAATTTAGAAGAGGGATGCCGTAATCCAAACTGCAAATAATTTGAAGGTAAGTGAATAACAATTAACTAATTTCCACCATGAAAAACGAAAAAGACAATTAGGTTTTAAATGAGTTGAAATTCCTAGATTCTTTTGAGATTCATTGAACTTTTCAATGGCATGTTTAAATCTCGATATGCCCTTCAAGTTTGTGACTGGGATACCGAGGATCAGAAACAAGGTGTGAATAACCATGCAAATATACTTGGTACCCTCGATGTCATTTACCACCTAATAAATGTGCCGGTTAACCACACACACTCCATTGATCTATGATAAACATCGAGTCACCCTTTGCCACCATTGCTAGTCCATATTAGTGTGCTGGTTATCCACGCACACTCCACTAACGACTTGGCAGGGTGCAAAGTGTAATTTCATGGAATAACATCATTTCACATTTTTTTCTAAAGTAACTAAGATTGGAAATTTTATAAAAACATTTAGTTACTTTATTAAACATTATACTTTTAATGAGGAATTAGTTTCCCTATCCTACCCGTTCCGCTAACGACCTTCCACCAATCAAGGAAGCGGTGGGTGAGAGTGAACACGCATTAAACTGCCATTTTATAGGCATCAACCTTATACCCCCCTTATAGATCGGCTTCGTGAATGAGGCCTACTAACGGTAAGACTCGTTTAATCTTATACATATATATATTATTAATCTTATAATATTATAATATTATAAGGGTTGAATTTTAAACATGTAAAATTCTAGGGTTTAGAATTTAAATATTTCAAAATTAAATTTTTAATCAAAAAATTTTAATTCCAAAACTTGAGGGCAAGTTTTGAAACTTTTCAAAACCTTCTAGATCAAATTACAAATAATTTAATTAAACAATTAATTAGTGATTATCTAAATTTGACATAATCTAACTCATGGCAAGATAATGCAATCAAATAATTCAAATAATTAAAGATTATCATATAAGGCAATAATTATCTAATTAATTTGCAATTATCTTCTATTTTGATAAGGATAATCATATCTGTTTAATAAAAATCGGATTTATTAATCAAAAACGTTTTTGGTAATTATCCCAATAAAAAATAGGCCAAAATCCCGAAAGTTTTGCTCCCTGACACTCCGACTCGCCGAGTCACTAACTGGACTCGTCGAGTTCATCTGACTCGTCGAGTTCATCAGGTGACTCGACGAGTTCAGCTGTCAGAGGGTAGAATTTTCGATTTTGCAAGCAATGAATGATCAAACAAGGCATCAAATACAATAGAAAACAGCGTAGTCTCTGATACCACTGATAGGTTTTGAGCATTACATCAATCCTATGGTGCACGTGCAAACCCTAAAGCTTTGGATCTAGGTTTATCTAATTGTACACGCAAATCATCCAAAGCTTGTAAATCCTAGATCTAGCATACAAAATCGAAATTAATAACTAATACAAGTTTAGATGATTACCTTTCCATTAAAGCTTGAAGATCCTTGACTTGGAGAGCTTAGTATCACAAATGTAATACCTCTAATCGATCACAAACACCAAGGCAATTGGAAGAATGTAAGAGAGAGAGGAGGGAGGTGATTTTCGGCTCTATCAATCCTTCTAGGGTTAGGGTAGCCGAAAATGTGATGCCTAAGGTCCTTTATATAGGTGTGGAATTAGGGTTTCAGTCAAACACTTATCTGGTTGCTTAGGCTCTAAGAAGGCCATAAGATCCTTCTGGAATCCCTTCCTTGGACGAATTCTTAAGGCCTTATCCATAAGAATTCGTCCACCCTATCTTTAGGGTTTCCTCAACCTACTTTGCAACTATCCAATAATTACAATATCAGTTCGATAGATTTAATTAATATCTTTTGATCACAAAATTAATTTCTTAATTAATTCTTGACCAGTATTAATTAACCAATATGATTTCTCTTTTAATATATTATTCATATAATATATTAATAAACCATAATAACCTCTTTCTCTATAATTCATCCAGTCAAGTTGCTCTGGTAAAGGCAACCCAAAAGGACCATGCTACAACCAGGTCAAGTACATACCATATATAGTTATGGGCTTAGACACATAATCCAACAGAAACGTCAAACGAACTAGAATTGCGGGACCTCTTTGATTGTGCCTCCCCCGATGTCAGCGTCTTATTCCATTTTGGATCTAGCCTAACAATCTCCCATATTTTTTCAAACTCAAACGTGTGCCCCATTTCCACTTGATATTTTCCCTCGCGGCTTTGTAAACATCAAAATCATTCTCACCACTTTGCCTTTGCGATTCTAGTCTCATGAAAATGCCATTAAACTTGGTGCACCGGCGACTGATCGGAGTCCATTTGCTGCTAAGCATGTTGATATTCCGATATGGCTGTTTCTTCATAAGCGTGTGGAATTTGTCGAGCACGACTTCCCAAAACCCAACTCTTCGCATATCATTTCCTATGGATGGATTCTTTGAAGTCCCGCACCACGCCACCGCTAAAGCATACTCCTCCTCCGGTGTCCACCATAGTGGAGGCTCTTCTTTCGTATTCGCGACTGCCTTCCCTTTCCTTTTCCCTTTTCCTTTCCCTTTCCCTTTCCGACCGACTCCCGCTTGGTGGTTGTGTGGGTGGTGGTCGTGTGGCTGTTTGTTGCATGTAACTGAAAGCATTGAAAAGGTTTTGTTGAAGATTTGGGTTTTGCTGAATGTAAGGGGATCTAGGAAATTGCATTGGGGGTGTAGAAAATTGCATTGGGGTGAGTTTGAGGTGAGGAGGTTCATATAACTTCCGTATTGCGCGAAACCCGTCGGGATGGATGTGTTCGTGTTTGGAGGCGGGGTGTTTGGGTTTTGCTCCATAGTTGGTTGAAAGGAAAAGTGAGTTTTTTTTTGTGAAACTTGAAAATAGAATGAAGATGAAGATGAGAAAAGATTGTGGTTAAAATATTATGTTTGTATATTTATTTATAGGTGAAATAAAAAAGGTTAATTTTTTTTTAAATTTATCCGTTCTTCAACGGTCAAAAAATGGAGCGTTTAATGCGTTATGAATGTTAAGAGGGCAACGAAGGGCAACAGGCATTTTGACAACGGCTGATAACGAATAAGGGGGGTGGTGTTTCGTGTTACCACGCCAATGAGGCGCTTGACACGTCATAAAAACGGATGTGGGCGTTGCCCACACCGTTCAGTCTAAAATAATTTCAGATTCTAAAGAGGGAGCCACCATTACCAACGCCGCTTGGTCAAACATACAGGTGCATAAATGGGTGAAATTTTGTCATGACAGGCATGCCTCTATCTAATTTACATAATACTACCGTTCCTATGTTTTGTTTATTGAGCTTGTGTTCGATTTATGTTCATTTGGTTGTATACTATTTATCGACTCGAGTTTAACAAAACTGATTTAGATGTGAGTTCCATCCAAATTAGTTTTTGGATTAAGATGATGGTGCTTGAAATCCTAATTTCAAATGCGATCAAATTAATAACAACAAACAAGAATTGCATTTTATACCCGACAAAAGAAGTTCAAGCTCGTAACTTTCTTTTCACTTGTTAGCCTCTTTTTTGTTAGGATCGAGACACTTAACACACGACTCTAAACACACACACAGCTCACGAAAAACAAGAACACAAGGATGAATATGAGGGATTTAACGTGGTTCGGTCCTTCTCTGACCTACGTCCACCGGTAACTAGGAATTTACATTTCTTGGTGCTAATATGCACTCTTTCTGTGTTACACTAGATACAAGTTTTACAAATACAGATGAATCTCTTATATAGAGATGGAAATCAGAAGTAGTCAAAAAACACAACCGGGTCTTCAGCCAACCTTTGAAAAAACTTCACATTCAACAATTGTGGCTTCACAACTTCACATTGTTCCTGCCATTTTTGACCAGCTGTGGCTTCACATTCAACATTTTTCTCTCCGATTGCAATTATGTTGACGGTTTTAGAATCCACGCTTTTATGTGAACCGGGATTAATACATAATATTTCTAAATCATCAACATCTTTCACCCCCGACTTTTGTTCAGAAACACAATCGACTCCTGTACTTCGTAAGACTTCAACTTGAGTTACCTCTGAAGATTGCTCCTTGTTGACCATAAGTGTTTTTTTCGTCTCTTGAAAGGATTGTTGTCAGGAATCGTTGATCATCGTTTGGCAGGAATTGCATCATCTCTGCTCAGAATATTCTTCTTTAACGGAGAAATCAAAATTTTGAGGCTCGAATCACTTAAGCATCTCCGTTCTTCTACATTGACCTTAGGCTTCGTTTCCTGTTCCATCACTGAAATTCTTTTACTTTTAGTTTTCTGAGACGACACAATGGTAAAGCAGTTGTTTGTGTTTGTTTGACTTATTTCCTGATTGAAACTTAGATTATGATGGAAGGAAATCACATCCAGCTACAACACACATACCTACACAAATACATATTCCCTATAATCATTAGTTTCAGCGGAAGGAACAAAGAGTATTTGTTTGACATTTTGTATTTTTACCTGTGAACAACTCTTTATCAAAATCTAGGAAAGAAGTTATACGTCTCACAGAACCTAAAACTTTGTCTATGGCTATCTCTTCCCCCATTGCCATATCGATCCATCTTGAAAATAACCTGATAACATTAACATCAAGTTCAAATGTTAAAAATTAAGAGACAAGTAATTGGTCGATTTTTGTAAACAAGCTCTTACAGAGGAGCAACCATAGGCTAGCAGATCACTATCCTCTGATATAACTGCAACAATGCCACCTTCTTCTGCATCAAGACTGGATAAATATGCCAACTGTGCATCTGCCTCGTATGGAGCTACTAAACTCAATATTCTCTAACTTCAGAATCTGGAAATTTGGAAATTTTTAGAGGCAGATTAATAAATAATAATACAAGATTTTTATGTAGATAGAATTACAAATAAATATCGTACCTCAATAAGTTGGTGTGCCATGGATGGTGTAATACTTACTGCTCTCTGCATTCAAGAAAGATGGCTCTCATGGCATTATTTGATATGAAAAAATTCGAATACTTATCAGTGTAAGCAGAGGTCAAATTTTTAGTACCTGGAACATCTCTGTTGCAACATTAATATTACCCTCTTTGAGCTTTGCCATTGCTAAATCACAGTTGCCTTTCCTTTTACTAAGAGAAATCAAATATGGATGAAATGATGCTACTTTATCTTTAAAAATTGTGTTAAATCTAATGCAAAGGTTTAAATAGTATAAATTACTTGTGTCTATCTTGCTCAGTGAGGGACTTGCAGGGGATGTTACAACCATCAAAAACTAGCACTGGACTAATGTTATGATGACAAAGCAAATTGATGTGATGCATACAGTAGTTTAGGTACTGTGACTTTTTGTCTCCTTCCATATTCAAACAAAGCTCCATACTACATGAATATGTTGTTTGTTTTTCAACAAAAACAAAGCTCTATTAAACTTCATTCATTGCATAATTGCAGTATGCAACAAGTATAGTAATGGATTAGACGGATTCTAATCATTCTATGTATAATGTGATAGATTACTGCGGCCAATTTAAGAAATGACTAAACCACCATGAGGTAGATAAATTACAACGATAAGTATGTCATTTTAGCTTGAAAAAAACACACGCATACCTCCTTTGTGAAGCCACGAATATGCATCGATACCCACCTGTACAGATCGAGGATAAAAATAATTACTCCGATTCAATTGTTAACTGGTGGAAATAATGAAACATGAGATCGATTTCACGTACGCATTTGCCAACATATTTCTTGATGTGAACGGGCTCAACGTAGGGTTTCATGAATTTTAGAAGATCTTTGATACCCATTTTCTTGTTGGTTTTGATGAAAGATGCCGCTTCCGATTGGATGGAATCACGCGAAGAACAAGGATACGTCGTATGTAGTGAGAGAATCATGCTCTGGCCATTTTGTACGACGATTGAAGCTTTAGCCGCGGAAAAGTCTTTTTGAAATTTTGACGGGAAGACTCATGCGAACTAAAATCAAGAGCAAGTTACATAATTGGTCCTATGTTATAGTAATTTTTTGAATCAATTCAAGTGTTATCGATTTTAACACTCATTGTCCCTTAAAAACTTATTTGTCATGTTTCTGATCCCCAGGGACGGACGCAGGAATACATTGCAGGTGTTGCCGGGATGAATAGGTGTTGCCGATACATGAAAAATAAGTAAAAAAAAAATCGAAAAATCGAAAATTTTTCTACTGCGGCCAGAAAAGTTAGGGGTTGCCGGTGCCACACCGGGAACCCCTTAAAACCGTCCCTGTTGATCCCTATGTCGTTTAATTAAACAGAAAGACCGTAAATTCTATAAAAATGACAAATTTACTCTCATCATTCCATATTTCGTCCCCCTTTTCCTCTTACCAAGATAATCACAACCACTGTTATGGACCAAGGTTCCTGAAGTTTCCAAGCCCTCTAAAGAACGTTGGAACAATCAATAAAGGTCGGAAAGACGCCATAGAAATCGAGAACACACTATAAGAACATGAAAGACGCTAGAGTATTAAGAAGCTCCTAAAGCAAAATGGAACGACTGCAATCGGGACAATAGAGGACGCAAGAATAATACGGGAGATTGGGAACGTCCAAGAATTCTCTAGTACATTGTAGAGTATTAAGGAACATTATGGAAGCCTTGAATAGTAGTTTAGATCTTGGTAGATAGATCTAAAATAGTTGAGAGACTACGTGATCTTAAACTTCCAATGAGGAGGTGAAGGGCCCTATAAATAGGGAGGAAGGCTTATTTGCCCAACCCATTAAGAGGTACCTTGTATACTTGAGACTTAGAATTAATATACATAGTTGTTTCCTTATCGAAATTTTTAGCCTTGGTTTCTTACTTGTTGGTTCATTAATGTAACGTCCCAAATTTTCACCTAAAATTTTCATTTTTAAAACAAACGTAATCAACAAGAACCATTTTTCCAGAGTATAATAAAACAATCATTTGTTCCAAAACATCACCACATCATTTCAAAATCAGAGTAATAATAAAAAATAGTAATATCATATCAACGGAAGTCTCTAAAAACAAATCCATGGATGAGATACAGTCAGGTCGGGCCATTCCCCTTGCTACCGGAACAACCTGAAAACATTTACATTTAACGAATAAGCATTTCCCAAGATACCAAATACCCATGTGAAGGCTAAGTGTGACGTCTCCAAATTTCGCGGCCAAATAAAACTTTTTCTCTATGCTCATTTAAATCAAAGTATCATTTTTTAATAATATATTAGCATGGAATTTGTCCAAAAACATTTTCATTGTAAGATGAAATCAAAAACATTTTCAAAGAAACGCTTTTCATTAATATTAAAAACTTTGGATTGTTCACAACGATACAGAAACATAAGCATAAACTATTTATTACAGGTCTTACAAATGTTTATTATACTAATGGCTTTAAACTCCTTAAATGTCTCAACATATTTAAAATCATTATCCTTGTGTCTTCGTACCGTTACCTATGATACAAAGAAACTGAGTGGGTCAGGTTTGAGAGTCTGGTGAACACATAGGGTTTTCAACCCACAATAATATAATTAAAATACTTTAAATATATTTTACAACAAACAATTAACCTGATTACTCATTCTCTTTATTCTCACTCCCTGATCCTAACATGATGATCTTAAGGGACATATTCTAAAGGATCATTGTAAGCAACAAGTAGATAATACTACTTCGGGGATTCCTTAGCAATATAAGTCAATAAGGAAACCATGGGGGATAGAGTACAACGAATGAACTCACAGTTCATTAACACCTATAGGTAATGAGTCTATCAGTGTTCCACATGACTGTCTAGAATGGTCAGTGGTCATCATCTATACTTTACGAGATGACTAGTCACAACTGTACAATAATAATATAATGGTAATCACCTCACACCATTATTTTAACTTTCACAGCTTTTCTCTACCTAATACGATTTATGTATGATATTTAAAATAGATCAATATTCTATCAATATATAACTCAAGTACACAAAAATCCAGTCAAGTTACTTAATCTAGCATAGATATCATAATATACACACGTAATAATTAAGCATTTAAACACTACGTATCTATGTGTAAGATGAAAGTAATTATGCACTCACTTGTTATATGTGAATGATTGGTGGGAAAGTTAGTCCTTCGCCTAGCACCTTATTTTTCCCTTTTAAACGATAGGTTTTCTAGCAAAAAAACAGAAACTGCGCGGGAAAAACTTTGATACTGAAAGCTCTATTTCGCCGGGCTCTCTAATGCTCCAGAGATTTGCTACTAACACTTAAAAACTCCTAAAGTCGGGACTCAGAGTTGCGAGAAAATTTTGAGAGAAAGTGGAATGAATTTGTGTGAATAATGAAAAAAAATCGAGATTATTTATAGGTTGATAAGGGTGACGAGTCATGTCGTCTCCATCCTTTTGAAGTGCCATATGTCACGGTGTCATTCGGCCACGTCATTAAGTCGGTAGAAGCGTGTGACCGTTCTAAGGTCACGTGTCACGCTCCGGGCGTGCTACGTCATCGTTATCGGGTAAAATGTTGAATCTTTGAAAAAACATAATTTTTCACATACGAGCTCCGTTTTGGACATTCTTTATATCCCTGGTTTCATATCAACGAGTACTACAACTTTCCTTTAGATTTTTTTTCAGATAATTTGCACTCTATTTTAATGTTACATTCTATAAAGATTACACTGTAAAAGGCTTTGCAAAATTCATAACTTCTGCATACGAACTTCGTTCTCGACATTCAATATATCAATGGATTCATATTTTCAAGGACATCAATTCTCGTTTAGATTGTTTTGGCTAAAAAGCAACCAATCTTCATTTCACTTTTTATGACACACATTTTTGTGTCGGATTGAACGTGAAACTTTGAAAAATCATAACTTTCTCATAGAAAGTCAGATTTTGGTATTATTTATATCTACGGGATCATAATCATGATTAATACGACTTTCGTTTGATCATTTGTCCTAAATAATCTTTTATTTTTAAACGTTTAATTAGCCTTATTTATTAAGTTTTAAAATAAGTCTTTTACACAAATATTATATACACATAATATTTGTCCAATTTCCACACATAACATATATATATATATATATATATATATATATATATATATATATATATATATATATATATATATGTATATATATATATATATATATATATATATATATATATATATTCGAATAATTCTCTTCCATTTATTCATAAGAAGTTTACAATTATCGATAGTCGTAAATACATATTTCTTCAAGAAATGTCTAGCGAGAAACGTGGACGTTACAATTATCTCCCTCTTAGGATGATTCCGTTTCGGAATCATGCATCAGCGAACAGATGTGGATAGTGACTCCTCATATCACTTTCTATATCCCAAGTAAGGTTTGACCTTGCCATATGTTTTCATCTCACAAGCACTTTGTTTTTAGATCAACAATCTGTTCAGGTTCTTCAACTAACCTTCTGTTTTCATCGACTCTTAATTTAGAAAGTGGAATCATGTCGGATACTTCTCCCAATAATTTTCCCAGTTAACAAACGTGAAAGGTGTTATGAATGCCTTCCATCTTGGCCGGTAACTCCATCTTGTACGCTTGGTTTCCAATTCTTTGAAGCACTTTGAATGGTCCAATAAATCTTAGACTCAGCTTTCCATGTTTCCAAATCTAGTAAGTCCCTTCCATGGAGATAACTTGAGTAAAACCAGGTCCCCGACTTCAAAAGTCATTGGTTGACACTTTTTATCCGCGTAACTCTTTTGATGGTTTTGGGCTGCTATCATTTTGTCTCTGATTATATTTAATTTCTCGGCAGTCTGATGGACAATCTCAGGCCTCATAAATTGTTTTTCCCAGCCTCGATCCAACAAGATTGCTATGACATTTATGTCCGTAAAACGCATGATAAGGTGTCATCTTAATGTTTGAATGGTAATTGTTGTTGTATGAAAATTCAACCAGTGGTAGATGCTCATCCTAGTTACCCATGAATTCCAAAGTACATGGTTGTAACGTATCATCTAGTATTTGAATCGTTCTTTCACTTTGACCATCTGTCTGAGGATGATAAGTCGTACTCAAACATAATTTTGTACCCATCTCATCGTGTAAACTCCTCCAAAATCAAGAAGTGAATGACTGTCTTGGTCAGACATAATTGTCAAGGGTACACCATGAGTTTTTACTATCTCCTTCACGTAAACTTTAGCAAGCTTTTCCATATACCATCTTTCGTTGGTTGCTATGAAATGCATACTTTTTGTTAATCGATCTACAACCACTCAGATCATGTCGTGACCTCCCTTTGTTCTGGGCAGTTTGGTTATGGAATCCATGGTAAGGTCCTCTTATTTACCTATGGGTACCGGTAATGACTCTAAACTCCTATACATTTTCTAATGTTGAGTCTTGAATATTGCTCATGTCACACACTCGACCACATACTTAACAAAATCGAACTTCATTGTTGGCCACCAGTAGTATGGTTTCTGATCCATATACATATTGGTGTTGTCTGGATGAATAGAGTACATGGTTTTATGAGACTCTTCCATGAGAAGATCTCTTATTTCACCCATCTTTGGCACCCATATTGTGTTTTTGGAATACTTTCAACCCATTGGTTGTTCATTCCAAACACTAACTTCTTGCCTGGATGTTCTTCATTTCGGTTATCTCCTTCCATAACATCAATCTGAGCCTTCTT